TTGCAACAATAGCACCATCTCTTCCTCCTCCACAACTTCTGAGAAGCTTCTAGGTGGAAGCCCTCCTTGGAGATGCACATAAGATCAGCTGAAACTCTGGGCTTTAAGAACCTTCAGTCCTGCCTCCCCAGGATCAGAGGTCCCAAGCTGTGACATTTCTCACGATGCAGAGGTGCACAAACTACAGAAGGGGCTGCAACAGCGGACATAAACTCTAAGTCCCTGGATTTCCCTCTGCAACGCAGCCCCAGGACAGCAGGAATCCCACCCCTTAAACCCTCCCTGTCCAGAGTTCACTTAGACGGACTTTTCGGGTCAAAAATTCATTCTGACTTTCCCTGTCTCACCCCAGCAGCATCAAGCATTTCACATCAAGGACCTATGATTCACAGGGCAAGTTGACTCATTTCTGAAAGTTTCCACTTTGTGAATGAAAATGGTATTGACAGCTTGGAGGAGGATCAAGAACAGGGGACAATGTACCTCACTCTGGAGGGACCTAAACAATGCAAGTCTCATTTGCAGGCAACTGATTAAGATAAGGAGGGTGATAATGGGAAAATATTGGGATGGTTACTGCCGCCCCTTTACTTACTTGATTACTTATTTTTTATTAATTGACCACGTTTACCTGGTTAACGACATTCCCCCCCCCATTTCTCGTGCTGCCTTTTGGTTTTATTTTAATGTGAAAACACCCACAGTAGGCTTTCGGATGCTCATTTACAGATTCAGAGCCTCTAAAATGTCGGGTTTTTTGTTTTTTGTTTTTTTCCCATATAAGAAAAGGAAGGAAGTAACTGGTCGAGCTCCTGTTGCAGAGGGTCATTTTATCTAATGAAGACCCCGCAGGGCAGGACGCAGAGGCTGGGAAGGCTTAACACAGAGGAACTCAGCAAGCCGAAGAACACCTTAGAGTCTGGGCTTATTCTTGTAGGAACCTGCTCAACACGGGCAGCCTCAACCAGAGCACTGCCCAGGAGCCAAAGCTCAGGGCTGGAGCACCCGACCGTGCACAGGGACCAGGAAAGCCAGCCCTGGAGACTGCCGAGCACGACTCTCACATCTACTCAGCCCGACCTTCCATCTGCAGAGCACCATGTAACTCCAGACCAAAGCACATCGCCAAGCCAAGGGCCAGAACCCTGCTCTACATGGGAAGCCTGACGAGAACCTTAGGGAAACCCAAGGCAGGTGAATCAGATCCTGTGACCCTTGCGGTCCTGAGCCACAAAGCAGGGGAATACCCTTTGCCTCAGCCCCACCACACACCCAGCCCCAGGGCGCAGGGGAGAAAACCCCACCTGTGAATCATAGGAGCTCAGGACCTTCTCTGGATCTCTCTCAGAGCCCCCTGAAGAGGTCGGCATGTGTCATCAGGGGCCAGCACAGCTGCAACAACTCTCCTGTGAAACAAGATCTCATGGGTTTGGGGGTCTCTTAGGTTACCTCATCAATGCATGAGATGACCTGTCTGCAGGGGACGGGAGGCTCAGAAATGCCAGGCGAAACCTGGCATGCGGGGATGTGGTTTTCAACTTTTACATGTTATTTTAGTGGATACCTGGCTAATTTGGAATCAAGATCTTAACAGGTGAAACCCCAGGGAAGGTAAATGACTTATCTAAGAAGACACAGCTGGAATAGACAAACCTGGAAATAGAACTCAAGGGTTCATACTCTCTTTCCCCATAACTATACATCCTTGCTCAGAATAAAAAAAAAATCAAACAAAGCAAAATAAACAAAACAAGGGCTAGGGATGTAGCTCAGTGATAAAGAGGTTGCCTAGCAGGTATAAGGCCTTGGGTTCAATTCCCAGCAAATAATAATAATAATAATAATAATAAATATAAATTTTTAAAATAAAATAAAATGAATTTAAATTGAATGACCAAATAATAGTAAAGAAGATTGAAATCCAGAGGCAATACTTTCCTAGCCAATCAGGGGTTCTCTGTGGTATCAGCTAAGAGCTCTGAGCTGGGAATTGCCTCTTTTCCTACCCCAGCACACGGTGGAAGGAGAACTAACAATGCATTCTGTTAATCAATCCTGGTGACACTGCGTAAGTCCTACTATTTAGAGTCTAACAGCTTGAAGGGGCTCCAAGTCTGTTGTGCAGATGAGAAACATAAGGTCCAGGGAGAGGAACTGAGCTGCCTAGAAACACCCAGCTGGCCGTGGGCAGAGACGATCCTGTATCCATCACTCACTCTCCACCGCTGTACGATCCCCAGGGCACAGCACACATCCCGAGGTTAAGGACAGAGACACAGCTAATATATCAAAACCTACACATGAGAAGAGATGTGGAAGTATAACAAATGGGAAAGCAAAGGAAGACTTTATCTGGTCCAAATCAAAGGTGGTGTAGCTGCCTAATGTAATCAAACAATGCAGCCCCTAAAAAGGAAGAGATGGCTAATCTGGATTACATTCTGATGGACCACTGAGTGATAGAGGTAAACTGTAGAATAATCTGTTTATCGCAAGTCTACCAACAGTTCTCAGTGTGTGCAAAAGTAAATGCTCTGGAGAGGTCTGCAAAGATGTGCCCCCAAATGATAACAAATATCACCTAAGCAAGGTAATGAGGATGCAAGGATTGGGGGTGGTGAGCTGAAAGAACTTCAGCCTTATTTGGGAAGATTTTTTTTTCTCCTCAAGATGAATGCATTCACTTAATATTTTTATTTTTATTTTTTTTTTTTGCAGTAAAAGTTTGACAATTTTTTAAAAAGAGGAAATAGAAATAAAATTTGAATGATTCATCTGTCTATTCATTCACCAGCTGAGCACTTCCAAGTATCAGTCATGAAACAAGAAGTACAGCCCCTGCCCAAAAACTTATATTCTAACTCTAAGAGGTTTACCTGCTAGCCAAGCATAATGAGGTATGGACATGTATTCTGGGGAAAGAAAAGAGGAGATTAAGAAAATAAAGAAAGTGACCTCCATGTTTCACTGGAGATCCAAAAGCCAAAACTAGGTCCCCAGGAAATCCTAAGGATTGTAACACAGATGTTGGCAAAGTACGCAAGTGGAGAGACCTTTCATGATTTGAAAGAAATTTCCACTGCCTTCAACATCAGTTGAGAGCTTGGAATGGAATATAATAGCACAAAAGACAGCTTACAGTTCCCAAACATTGAACCCCACAAATAGGGAGGAGGTGTTGTTGCTCTTTAAAGATGTGGCTTCTTTGGCTGTTTGTATCGGTATATATGGATTACTCTGCTGGGCTAGAGATGGCCTCTGCCAAAATTGCTGTTTTGATTTGGGTTTCTAAAAATAACTCACAGACCGCCTGCAGCGTAAGAGAAAGATGGTAGCACACAGCTCGAGGGAGGAAAATAGGAAGCATTTGATTTGAATTACCTAAGAGCTGAAATTGAGCACAAATACCTCCTTGTAGCAACTGCTATATAATGACCCACCTTATTGGGACCCTTTTAAAACAGAGGCAGTTCAACAAGCAAGTTTAATTGAACATAAGATTTCCAGACCAACTGTCCTGTCAAAGCCACATTAAATGAAGATAGCTCAGCAGTGACCAAATCTCTGGTGAGATGTCAGATGTGTGACGGGAGAGAGGGGCAGAAAGGTGTGTGTGTGTGTGTTGGTGGGGGGTGAATGTGTTCTCTTCTCTAGGAGAAATGGGAAGGAGGGTGGGAGGAAGAGAGTCAAAGACATTCAAATTTAAGAAATAAAATGAAGGCCAGACATGGTGGTTCAGGCCTGTAATCCCTGCAGACTGGGAGGCTAAGGCAGGAGGACCTTGTGTTCAAAGCCGGTCTCAGCAACTTGGCAAAGCACTAAGCACCTCAGTGAGACCCTGTCTCTAAATAAAATATAAAAGAGGGCTGGGGATGTGGCTCAGTGGTTGAGTACCCCTGGGTTCAATCCCCAGTACCCAAAAACGTAAAAAATAAAAGAAATAAAATTTAAAAATAGGTGAGTCACTAAGTCGGCTGAGTTAGGTTCCAAAGGCCTCCGAGGAAATCTGTGTCTTGAAGCCAGCATCTGTTTTGTTTAAAGACACGTCGCTTGGCTTGGACGTTCATTCATTAGCAAACAGTCTCACACCCAGCACCAGGTCTGGGTCTGAAAACTCTCAGGTGGACAGAGAGGACGCTGAGGGGTCGCCCCATGTAACTATTTCCCCAAAACCCATAGACACTGCAGCTAACCCCTTCCAAACCCCAGCACTGCCTGCCCCACCGTGCAGCTTCATTAAGAAAGGAAAACTCTCCTCCAGAAGGTTCTAAAACCCTGGTTCCTAGCCCTTCCAATGACTCCAACAGAGCTGAGGGACAGCACCTTGACTTGGTGTCTGTGTGTGTGGGTGGGAACCTGAGGGGGCTCATGCACCCACATTCTGGAAGGAGCCTCCCTGACCATGCTGGGCTTAGGAGACCCTCCATGAGTCCTTTCCAGAAGAAAATATAACTCAAACCTGAGGGTAATGAGGACGAGAAACAAGCTCAACACTGCTACGTGGTGGAAGCAGGAATCAGACTAGAGCCTCTCTGATTTGGTGCATGCCCATCTTCCGTGGCCCAGCATTACATGGTCCCCTGAGACCTTCTAGAAAGTTCCAATGCTGGAAGCATTACACTGTAGATGGCTGGAGACTCTATGAAAAGTATAACTGAGTCTTTGGCTGGGAATCCACTCTCCTGCCAAGGGGATGGACGATGGTGATGTTCCCTCCACTCTAAGGTTTTCCTGTCCCCAGCCAGAGCTTGGAAGGAATCCAGCTCTGGGGTTCAAATGGCAGCCCTGATGCTCAGAGCCATCTAAGGTTTAGTAAATAGGCACCTCTGGGTCTCCCTGGTTCCTGCATTTTGAGAAATAGCACCTAACTAATGGTTTTCAAGAGTCCCTCTTAAGCACTTTGTGTTCATTAGCCCACAGAGGACTTCCAACGTGCTGCTATGAGACTTCCAACGTGCCCAAATGAGAAAGACACGGCACAGAAAAGCCAAATTACTCACCCAGCGCTGCTCTGCTCATTGATGTCCAAAGCGGGATTCTGCAGGTGGTCTGGCTACAGTCCATGCTGTGACTGGGATGCAGACACACTGTGGGGAACCATCAGGAGACTTCTACAAGATCACAGGAATGAAAAGCTCCCCAGGCCACCTGCAAAGAGTAAGAACTCAGTAACTTATTAGGCATCACTTAAAACTTAATGTGTGTGGTGAGCCAGAAATACAAGGACATCCACTACAGTACCCATGTGGCTGGGGTGAAGGGGACACGGCCACCGGCAGAAGTGCCGTTCCCTGACCAGCATTCTCCACCTGTCCACAGCTGGCACCCTGTCTTGGACTCAGGGCACCGGACCAGGGATGTAGTTCTCTTCCCTTTGAATCCTCCTGGTGCCTTCTCTCTGGGGATCCTGCAGGAACCTAAGCTGGGGTAGCTGGGGTGGGGACAGGCTCTGACATGTGCACAGCAAAAAGTCCAACGTGACACAGACACATTAATCCCCAAGGCAACAGGCATGCTGGGGTGGACCCACCACTTCTGAAACTCTGCAGATGCCAATCACACAGACCTCGGGTTGATCCCTTGTACAGAAGAGGTGGCATGCACTCCAAAAGGTGGCAAAAGTGACAACCTGGCAGAGGAGACTCTGTTGGCTGTGGAGGAGCCAGTCAACCACTGCTGACTTCTTATCACAACATTCCAGCTCCGTTCAAGTTCAGGGCAGACAGCAAGGCACTCAAGAGAAAGTTAAGGCCAGGGAAGAATCATTCCTAGCCTGAAACAGCCTCAGCAATCCCACTACCTCTGAGAGGGACTGGCCAGGAGGCCACCTGGCCCAGGCTGGCCAAGGACACATAAGGGGAAGTCTACTGGGGATTTCTGGGGAAATTCTTCTTCCCTAGTAGAAGATAGAGACTTGAAATAGAAAGGACCTCTTTTCCTACCCGATTCTTCTTTTTGCTCAAAATGCTGTCTTGGCAAAGTGATGTCTACAGCAGAAAAACAAACCCAGGGCCCCGGCGAGTGCATCTTTTCTGATACCTCTGCTAATACCAGGTGCAGGCAGTGGGGTAGAGAAACAGAAACTCCTAAGCACGACTGGTGGAAGTGTACATCGGTACAGTCATTCTGGAAAACAATCTGGTAGCACTCGTGAAATTAAATATGCACACGCACTATGACTCATCCGTCAGTGCTGGGTCCAGGCCAGAGAAACTCTCTCACAGTCCATGCAGGTACAGGTGTGAGGTGCTCATCACAAAACCAGCTGAGATCACCTGGGGTCCATGGCGGGGTACAGAGATGTAAACAGGGCAGGTCCTGTGTCAAGGGAACCAGCTGTACTGAGGGCACCAGGACTGGATTGATCCGGTTTGGATATGGTTTTTGAGGGTGTTCCCAAAGGTTCCTGTGTCGGAAGCTTGGGGTTCAGTTTCCAGCTCAGTGCAGTGATGCTGAGGGTTGGAGAGACCCTGGAGAGATGGACCCTAGTGGGAGGTCATTAGGGAGGCTGCCCTCCAGCAGGGATTAACATGGTGCTCACAGCATCCCTGCCCCTCCCTGGCTCTCTGCTTCACCATGGGATCTCCTGCTCTCACGCGCTCTCTCCATAACACCAAGCCCCACGCGGCCTCTGCCAGAGCCAAGTGGTGCTGCCCGGTGCCCCTTGAACGTGCAGCACTGGACTAGGCACCCAGGCAAGGCAAGGAGCAAATGCACTGCACTAGAAGCCCATGGAGGAGCGAAGAGGAGGGAAACGAAGAAAGAAAAACAAAAGGAAGCAAGAGCCGGGCCCCATGGGGACCAAGGATGACATGCCTGGAGAGGAAGCTGTCACGCACGAAATTCAGCGGAAAAAAAAAAAAAAGCAACCAAATTAAGTGTCAGAAAAGCCAGGTGTGATGGCTTCCATGATTCTCACTGGCTGTGGCCCTCTGGCAGGTCCCCACGGTGAAGAGCAGACTTGAAGAGCTGTCCTGACACACGGCTGCGTGCCTCTGAGGGGATCTCCTGTGGGAGACTGGAGCCCCCAGTGCTCAGAGGCTGTCTCTAGAATAAGGTCCAGTGTTACCCATGGGGCAAGCGCAGTGGGACAAGGGGAAGAGGGGATGGGGAGGACCAGAGCCCCATAACGAGGGTGCTGATGCCTGTGGGGGACAGAGAGTGCCTTCGCTAAGTTGTACTTGCACCCAGCCCTGGCTGGGGGCTCCCAGCTCACCCGCCGAGTGAAGCTCCTGGGTCCCAACCCCGGCACCACCGCCCGCCCCTCACTGCACAGCGGATGCTGTGCGTGTGCCAGGTGAGAAGTGGGGATCACGCTGCCCCTTCTGATGCCACCCGAGGGGGCACACGGAACCCTGCACATTCACGTATGGAGTCCTTCTTTCCTTCTGTGGCAACAAATAATACCTACTGACTAGAGCAGGTTCCAAAAAAGAGAAGAGATGAGACAGAAGAGAAAAGAGCAAAAGAGGAAACCGTCAGCCCTCCCGTCACCCCCTTGGGGTGCGCACTGCATTTCCCGAAGAGCCGGCATCTCTCTGCACGAAAGGGTTCCATGATCTCAGGAAGGACACGTGCCTTGGGGGACTGTCACATCACAACTTGTCACCACTCTCCTCAAGGTGCTCCCTCTTCCCCGTCATGGTCCTTTAGGAGTTGGGAGAGACGGAGGAGCAGGAATGGCATGAGTTCCTGGGGCCCCTTTTACCCCAAAAGGCGTCTAGCTGCCCACTCTGAATGAATCCTCAACAGGGAGACAAGGTCAAAGTGAGGCTTTGCTGCTCCTGACAAATTGTTCCCAAAGACCTATTTAGGCTGCCACTAGCCATGCAGGTCCCTGCCGGGCTCCCTACAGATTCTCACAGTACAGGGCAAAACCTTTTACTCTAAGGGAGATGCTGCCGATGCCCTGCTTTGGCGAGCACTGCCGTGACCCCAGGGACGCCGAGCTCGCCGCGGTGCTCTTTCCCACTCATGAGACCTGTCCGAATGCACACATCTTCCCAAAGAAGTGTCTCTGTCTATAAAGAGACGCTTTTCAAGGCAGCCTAGGGGTGGAGTGGGGGGCAGGACTGTGAGAACTGGGGAGGGCAGTCTTAAGCCTCCTGAGAAAGAGGGGAAAATAGAGGAGTAACAAGTGGACAATCCTCCTGAGAAACCGCAACTAAAACTCCCCCGCGTCCATCCTCCCTGAGAACACGTGTGTACAACAGTGACCACACCACGAGGAAGAGCGGAGCCCCGGGCAGCAGGACCCCCGGCGTACGTGGGTGGCACTCTGGGACTTGGGCACTCCAAGGCCATTTTTTAAGTTAATTAATCAACTTATTAATTGATTCACTTATTCCAGGAGTAGTTACATTGGTTTTCACATAAGATAAGCAAACACAAAGAATGTGAATAAACACACAGAAAAAATAAGGGGTGTCAGAAGAGGAAAGGAAGCGAATGCAGAAGGAGAGGCACGTGGCCTGGAGAACAAGGTCAGGCTCTGTCCTGCGCCGTGGGGTGACCACAGATAACAACTGCTTATCACATGCATCATAAAGAACCAGAAGGGGGGAGTTTGAAGGTTCCAAGGACAAACAAAGGATACATGGTTAAGGAGAAGGAAATGCTGATATCCTGACTTGATCACTCTACAGTATAGACAGATACCAAATTATCACACTACACCTCTTAGATGTGCAATTATTCCATGTCACACTACCCCATAAATGTGCAATTATCACATGTCAATTTAGTAAAAAGCACTCTGAACATCCCTTAGGGCTAAGCATGGGGTTAAAAACCTGCCTCCCAGTGGGAGGCCCATGTCACTTCGCAGACCTGTTGCTGGCCACTAGTGGCTCTTGCTCAGGCCCAGCTCCAGTGCTGGATCCCCCAGAGCCCCCACACTTCATGTGGGCTGAGACCTCCACTGGGCACTCCTCTGGCTCCTGTGGGGCTAATTCTCACACTCACCCTCGTCTTATCCTAAGCCAGCTCCCTGGGAAGTCCATCAGTGCAGAGTCCATGTTGGGTCTCATCTTGCCCTGACACACTCCTTCTCCCAGGGCTTAGCCCAGCCACGCACTGCACTGGCTGCTGTAGCAGTCACCCCCAGAGCACAAGAGTCACTGTCCAGGGGGCAGATCTCCACGCTGAAATGGGCCAGCAGTTCAGAGAAGGACTGGCCTGAGAGTGGGAGGCATAATGGGTTGGGCAAGCACAGAGATGGAGAGGGGGGTCCTTAGATGACCGCACTGTTTCCCCTCCCCTCCCTAGCCTCACTCCATCAATCCAGCCAATTCTTTGGAACGCATTTCTCAAGTGCCTGCTATCACCAAGACACTGCTGTGAAGAACTGCAAAACTAAGGCCACTCCCTGAGTGTGCATGCTAGTCAGGGAGTCAAGACTTCAACCCAAGGAATGTTAGATAACCATGGAGGAATGAAGTGTGAGAAAACAAAGCAAGACTGTCAAAGACTAACGGAGTGTAGGCACTGCGTGGTCTGGGCTCAGGACAGCAGGGTCACTGTGGGCTGCAAAGGAAAAATCCTCTGAGAGCCCCTGTGAAGGATGACCATGGCATGTGGGTGGGTGGATGATGGTGGCATCAGTGATGAAGCACTGGAGTGGAGAAGGGTACTGCGTGCTCGGGACAAGACCTTCTTAGGGCCAGAACAGAAAGAAAGTAACCAAGACCCCTGAGAGGGTGTGTTGGGTCCTGAATTTTGAGGACCCTGAAAACCAGGCAGAGGATTTGCCAACTCCCACCTGTGGGCATTGCAGTTGTCACTAATCCATCCTACAGAGCCCAGATGGGACCTCAGATTTTTCTCCCATTCAGGGCTCCAGGCAGCCCCTACCAGTCAATCCAGGTGACAGTTCCAGGCTATTTGCCTTGCAGATTGTAACAGTCAGGAGTGGCAATGTTATGACGCATTAACATGTATCCCCAAATTGCAGAATTTTAAAGAAATAAAGAGTAATAACCCCTTCAGTCTACATGTCTATCATGGGTCATGCACAATCAGAGATTGTGCTCTGTGTTAGCACCAGCCAGACCAGATTGTTGGAGCACTCTCCACTTCAAGCACTGCAAGGTGGCAGGTCTGAAAAGCAAGAGACCTCTGAAGGGTCTCTCACTAGTATTCTGAAATGA